CGACTATATATATATATATAGTCACAAATATATATGATGACTCGGTGAAACTCAGACGAAACAGTTTGTCACAGCCCCTGCTTTGGTGTCCTCTTCTCTTTCTATCTGTCAACGGTTTACTGGGCACTTATGTTTGTGACTATATATATATATGGTCACAAACATATATGATGACTCGTTGAAACTCAAACGAAACAGTTTGTCACAGCCCCTGCTTTGGTGTCCTCTTCTCTCTCTACATGCCCACGGTTTACCCGGCTATATATATATATATATATATATATATATATATATATATATATACTCCTAATGAGTCGGTGAAACTCCGACGAAACAGTTTGTCACAGACCCTTGTTTGTTGTCCTCTTCTCCCTCTCTGCCTACGGTTTACCGGACAGTTCTATTTGATGATATATATATGATTTACCGGCCACTTCTGTTTCTGTGCCTGCATGTGTATATGTCGTGGGTGTTTATGCTGAGCGCTGTGTATGAAGTACAAGAAGAAGAAGAAGAAAAAAAACAGAAAGAAAAAGAACAAGAAGAAGAGGAAGAAGAAGAAGAAGAAGAAGATGAGTCAAGGACAAAAACAAGACCTAACAGAAAAAAAACAAAAATTATCCGCCATATATATATATATATATATATATATATATATTTGTCCTCTTCTCTCTGTCTGCCTACGGTTTACCGGCCAGTTTTGTTCGTGAATATATATATATATATATATATATATATATATATATATATAKATAYACTCAGCGCTGTGTGTGCTGCCATGTACACGTCCGAACAATGTCGGCGTCGCATAAGAAATAAAACGAAGAAAATTAACAAAGAAAACCTAAGACGACGAATAAGAGAACAAGATAAAAAAATCAAACGAAGTAAACTAAAAAACGAAACCTAAAAAATGTTGTGCAAACGTCATGTCTGATGGCAATGTAATGCAAGTAGTTTCGATGCGACAGACCAACTCTCTCTCTCTCTCTCTATCTATCTATCTATCTATCTATCTATCTATCTATCTTTCTTCTTCTTATATATATATATATATATATATATATATATATATATATATATATATATATATATATATATATATATATATATAAGACAAGGTCGACGACGGGGACGACAGGCTGGCCGACATGAAAAATCAACACAGCGATGGACACGCGAAGAACGACAAGCGAAAGATGAACGCAAAGAAGAAGTACAAGAAGAAGAAGAAGAAGAAGAAGAAGAGAGAAGGACAAAAAACAAGACCTAACAGAAGATATAAGAATATATCCGTCAAGAAATCAATAGAAAAAAAATTACAAAGGAAAATAAAAAATTTCCACCATGCGAACAACACAGAACACCTGCGACGATTACAAGAACAAAAGGGGAAAAAAAAAGGCTACGAAATATGCCACATATCCGGGAGTTTTTTCTAATTTTGGGCGACGATCTCTCTCTCTCTCTCTCTCTGTCTCTCTCTCTCTCTATCWCTMTCTCTCTCTCTCTGTATATATATATATCACTCTCTCTCTCTCTCTCATATACATATATATATCGTCACAAACAGAACTACCAGGTGAACCGTACGCAGAGATAGAGAAGAGGACAACAAACGAGGGGGTGTGACAAACTTATATATATATTGTCACACTGTGAATCGGAGCGCAAAGGCGGAAAAAGCAAAACAGGGAAAATAACAAGGTCGCCGATGGGGCTGACAGGTGGCGCGACATGAAGAATCAACACATCGATGGACACGCGATGAACGACAAGGCAAAGATGAACGTGAAGAAGACTTTGAAGAAGAAGAAGCAAAAATAAAAATAAAAAAAATTAAAAGCATATACGATAAACAACGAGCTCTCAACGGACAAAAACGATCCGAAAATAAAGCAAAATATAAACAAAAACAAAAATTAATAATAAAAAAAAAGACTACATGCGTATACAAATCACAACTCTCTATGCACAACAACAACAACATTCAAACAACAAACGCTGTATACAAATCAAACATAACGAAACGGTGATGAAAAAAATGAAGACGAACGTAATAGCCGAATAAGGAATGCAACAATGAGTACAACAACAACAAGAACATATACAACAAAAAGTAGAAGAAAAAGAAGAAGAAAAAGAGAAAGAAGAAAAAGAAGAAAAAGAAGAAAAAAAAAAGGAAGAAGAAACGACCACGCACGAACACATACAGAAACACGCAACCACACGCACAACACCATACTCACACTTACACAGAACCGCAGTAAAGCGGAGGATCGACGACGACCAACACAACTCCAAACGCGCGACCGCATGCACACAACACAATAGCGRACACTCGCCAGCACMCCCACCGCTACTGGACGCCGCTCAAACACGCATGCACACACAACCGCCGCGGAAGGGAAACACAGCCTGTCGTGCACCCGCGTCGTGAAAATACGAAACGCTTGCGACATCGCCAGCACGCTGGAGGTGCAGTGGACGGGTGGACAAAGCGATGGCGCCTTTGTCACATCCTGAACGCAACCCAACAAACACACGAACCACCGCACAGGAAACCTAACCGACCACCCACCACGACGTCACGCGGAGAGAGAGAGAGAGAGAGGAAGGCCACATCGCTGCACTGCTCGCAGGCCTCGCAGACCAACAACGACCCCAACCACATCGCACTCGAACAAGTTCACGCTGCTGGAAACGAGGCGGCAAGGACGGCGAACGGAAACAACAGAGCAAGGAGGCAGGGTCGGGTTAGGGGGCTCGTGGCGATGGCGGACATGACTGTCACAACCTCGATTACAGGTGAAAGTGTCAACGACATTGAAACCCTACATGACTACACAGAGGAGACGCGTTTCCACATCGTCGTCTCATATGTATATATCGGTAGTACCGGGACAATGGTAACAATAACAAAATAAAAAATACAACAAAAAAAAAGGCGTGCGGCGACGGATTTTTTGGATCTGTTTTCGTTTTTGTTTTTCGCATTTTCATTGTGGGCCTTCAATTCCCACCACAGCGTGAAAGTCGAGTACAGATTGTCGACGGCCCAATAACTGGACCACCCGACCGTTTCGCTGCCACTTGATGAAACCCCGCCGTCGGCCGCCCTCTACACCGTGGGGCCTTGGTGCAGTACCCAGGGACTTCGCGAGATCGGTGAGTTGGGACCTCCGAAAAACGCTCCCCTAACTCACCGGTACCGGGGGTTTTCGATGGCGGGGGGACCTGTGGTTTAACCTGGTCTTGAACTCTGCTGCTACTCGTTCCTCTCATCAGCTCTCTTGGCAGAGGTGCTTGAATGTCTACGGGCGCCTTCGCGCTGAGGACCTTTTGGACCTCCTTGAAACGCTTCCACCAGATCAAAAAATTGCTCTAGGGTCCGTTTCATTCACTTGTTCAACCATCGCCCACAGCTATGTCGCCCGCTCCATCCAAGCTAAGCCGGTGGCTGCCTCGCGCCTTTCCTAACCCTAAAGTCGATTAGCGCTAGGCGCAGCATTAGCGCTCGAGATTAGCGCTTCGGCCAACCGCCCCCCGGTCCCCTCTCCCACTATCACGTGCGATATCCACGGTAGGCAATTTGCAGTGGTCGTCCACCGTCAAAATTCGGGCACCTTGATTGAGCCAGACCACGGACCGCACCAGAACTAAGAGGGTGGATCCGCGGCCTTATGGGCTGCCTGCATGGTGGTGTTCGTTGCGTCGCTGCTGGTAGAATACGGGCATCCTCTACTCGCGCTGTTTCTATGATTCTATGACGCGTTAGCTCTCAAATCCACCAGTGACCACTGCTGCGTGCTCACGGACGCACTGACTGAGCAACTGAGCCCTGGGCAACGTGGGCGTAACGAGTTTCATGCGGAGCCAGTGCTATGTCGGGCTGCCACCGACCCCCGACGACGGCGGACCCGACGGACTACAACCCCAAGCACCGAGAAAGGGGAAGCTACCGAGCCTCCTGTGCGCAGTCGTGGTTGCCGATTTCGAAGACCTTCGATCGGCCTCTGCGAGAGCGGCAAGTCAGCAAGCAAACGAGTTCGGATACGGTAGCAAGAAGTCTAACCTGCGTTCGAGCCCGCGTGCTCACTGCCCATATCTTGGTCCCCCAGCGAACCTCCGCACGTCTTTGAGCGGTGAAGAGGCGGCGACGAAGACGACCACTACGCTTTGCAAACACTTGGCTCGACTCGATGGCAAGGTTTTTAGGGTGTGTGCTTGTTGATTCGCAGGGCAGTTTAGCACACCCGGTGAGGGGGAGAGATAGCTTGCCGGCATTCATTCTATTCTACCTGTACCTGTAATCATCACCGTACTACTCTGATCTGTTTACGTCACGGGTATCCGTATTGTTAGGATTCTAGGAGCGTCGTAATCGGGCATGGGAAGGGGTTAGTGCCTATGCGAAGGTTAGGAAAAGGGAGAGGAGGTGGACAAGATTTGATGAGGGCACGATGATGCAGTTCTAAGCCACCGATCTGTTGAGAAATAGGCCCAACGACCCGAGAGAGAGAGAGACACAGAGAGAGAGAGAGAGAGAGAGGAATGGCGACAGAGGCGACAGTGGAGATGGCAACCACAGAGACAATGAAGACGGAGGAGGACATACGGCGGGAGATAGCAGAACTGGAGAGACAGCAGCGTGAAATAACAGAAAGACTGAGAGATCCGAGAGCATCTCTGCGAAGAATGGCTTCTGGAATTGGCGCCGGGAGAGTAGGAGGTAGTGGAGGCGGGGGGGGTATCGGGATTGGAGGGCGTAGGGTCCTCCAACGTCCAGGGCTTCGCGGGAGTGCAAATGACTCGGCAATGGACTTCAACAACAACAACGACAGCGTTGACGATCTACACACGGTTGGAAGGAAGAGGTTGTCTTCGGCAGTCGTGAGAGTGGGGGAAGAAGACCGGAGCGAGCAGGAGGGAGGTGGGCGGTCTGTAGAGGAACGGAATGGTTCTGCGGGGGACGAGGAAGAGGAGGTAGATGGCGCTACAGATGGAAGCGTCGGCAAGCGAGACAGAGGAGGAGACGGGAAGCACAGGCGAGAACGGGTCGACGGTCGCAAATTTGACGACGAAAGCGACGAGGACGATCGAGTAGAAGATAGCGAACGTTCGTCCAAGCGGCAAAGACGAGCAGGAAGAGCAGTTTCTGGCAATAGAAGCAGGAAAAAGGGCCGGGGGGGCACTTCGGGCGGCGGACAGTCGGATGAAGAACCTGCCAACAACCCTTCGTCCAACCCTAGAGCTGACGACGTGCCCGAGAGGCAGCAGCCCGCGGCGGCGGTTGACGCGTATCGACCAAGGCGAGGATCACAGGAAAGCAGAGGAGTGGGAGGGGGAGGCGATGGCGAATTCCGTAATCCGCTTGGCCGAGTTGAGGTGCCATCGGCGCCGCCGAGGATGCCGCCGCCAGTCATGAACGAGCCTCTATCTGCTGTCAAACGACACAAGCGAATGTTTGGAGCGTTGTTGGGTACGTTAGAGAAATTCAAGCAGGAAGATCAACGGTTCCAGGAATCGGAAAGGGCAAGAAGAAGAATGACGGCAATCCAAAGGGCAGAAGCGAAAGCGGCGGAAGAAAGCGAGCGGCTTCGGCAGCAAGAAAGGGAACAGGCGGCGGTGAAGCGTAAGCGAGACCTGATACTGAAAGCTCGCCTGGCGGCCAAGGTGGAGCAGAAACAGTTAGAGCTGCTGTTTCTCCATTGGACGGCACACAGGACGAGCTTGTGTTCGTTTCTCAGAACAAGGTCCGAGCCCGCTGTGTTTTACATGCCAGTGAAACACACGGAAGAGACGTTGAAGCTTCTGGAAGATCAGAAAAAGGACGTGGAGGACTGGAAGAAGACGAGGAGGGCTGAGTTGGATGAGTATCAAAGCCGTCTTGCGGACGAGGCTGTGGCGATGGTGGAGGAAAGAGAGGGACTGAGGGAGAGACGTGGAGGAAGCGCGGGACGAGCGGAGAATGATGCCGACGAAGAGCGGTCCGCGGAGATCCTGGGCGGGGCGAGGAGTCTTAGCGACGGGTTCGAAAATGATGATCCCCCGAGTGTTCCGACGTCTAAGGCGAGAAGGCATACGGGAGTCGGCGTCGGCGGCGAGGTAGAGGGTGGTGAAGAAGGCGAGGTAGTTAAGGAAGATGAGAGTGGTTCGGGTATGGCAAGTGACGCGCAGCGCCGGATGTTGAAGGAGAACGGTAAAGCCGCCGCCGCCATCGCGGGCGGCGACGAAAGCGCTCAGAAGGGGTCGGGGGACGGAGAGGGATCATGGGAGAGGAAGAGGAGGGCGGTTGCGGAGGCCGTGTCAAAGCCGCCGGAGTCTGCTGGCAGCAGCGATGATGATATGGACGACGTAGGTTTAACTGGTGTAGGAGAGGAGCCGACCGAGCTCGATAGGATGTTAGCGGGAGGAGAATGAACAGTGCTTCACTCTCCCTCCCTCTCCCCTTCGTCTCTGGGCACAGGGATGGGCTTTCGGGATCATTCATCCACGCATGCCGTCGTCCCCTCAAACCTCGACGGGCACATAGCTCATGATCGCAGCCCTAATGCTGCGGTATAGTGGGCTTGAGCGTCGGTGTCAAGGTGTCAGATTGTCGGTGGCGGGCGACCAGCGTACAGGTGGGTTTTTTAGGGGCGAAAGTTATATGGGCTGACCGATAGCTGTGTCTTCTAGAACTGGTGCTTTTGGAGAAGATGGACTACCGGTCGTTTGTTTGAAATGGACCCCCGAAGGAAGTTGGGGGCGGTGATCCAAAGAAGAGGTGTGGAAGCGGAGGCGTTGTCGCGCGAATCCCATCCCACGCGCGGATCGCTCTCTCTCTCTCTCTCTCTGTTACACGCTCTCCTGACTTCGCGGGTTCTGTCGGGTGGGAGGGATCGGAGACTGAGAGAGAGAGATTGCTGACTGCATAGATGAAGATCGAACGGTAGAGAGAGAGAGAGAGAGACGTTCTGGCTTCGAGCTGACTGTTGGCTATCGAGTTGTGCGTCATATCCCCTAAAACTTGAGATGCCCATTCCAACAACTCTCTCTTGGCTACAACTCTCCCCATTCCACCCTGCTGCGGTCCCGATCTCCTAAACAAGTTATCAAACCTGCAATTTTGCAAGAACAACTCTCCCTCTCTCTCTCTCTCTCAGCTTGTGTGTATATGTGCATATGTGTGCGTGTATGCACGTGCGGTTATTAGTCTACTGTATCTCTCGGTAATGCAGGCGCGGATCTCTCTCTACTCTTGGGTGTGTGTGTGTGTTGTCATGTTCGCTATACACAACTCCACAACAAAAGTATGTCTGTGCCAGACTGTCTCGTCGTCGACCTTATGTCTGTGCCAGACTGTCTCGTTGAACTTTCACCGACTCATCAGGAGGTTGAACCCGTGTGTGTGTGTGTGTGTGTGTGTGTGTGTGTGTGTGTGTGTGTGCGTGTGTGTGTCTGTGCGCGCGGGGAATGTAGATCTTCTCTGTAATTACTACAGTCTAGATCTACAGTATTATCTCTCGGGAGTGCGGCCGCGCACGCCCTCACGCGCACATAAGCGGCGGCCGCGAAGAGATGGAGTAAACTTTGGAAGGAGTCTGTTCTCTCTCTCTCTCTCTCTCTCTCTCTCTCTCTCCCCCCCCCTCTCCCCCACCACCTTACAGCGAAATGCCAAAAACAAGCACACTCTGCATAGGCAAGAGAGAGAGAGAGAGAGAGAGAGAGAGAGAGAGAGAGATTGCACCAAGCACACTCTGCCGATCTTCATCAGGACTTGATTGATGAATAATGAGGCCGACAATCCTATTTCGATCAATTAAGACAGGAATTAAACACTAATAAGAAACACCTATTTCGATCAATGACCGTAATATAGTAGCAATAAAAAACACGTTCATCCAAAACAACATGATTGATGGATAACACCGCAGCGACGGCGTTATCCACTTGTCCACCAATGGCTTGATTTATTAGTGTTGATGGAGTGGATAATAGTCTTCCATCGAATAGAGCACACGGTCATTATCGCCGTACTGAACCAGATACAGCAATACTGAGCGGGCCTTCTATTCGGGGGAAGATAGTACCGCCGATCGCCACTTTCTTGATATTGCAAACCAGCTTGATTGATGGGTAATTCCGCTGCCGATGGCATTATCCACCGATCGATTGATTGATGGTTATAATAATGCCGTTTACATCACCCATCGACTAATTAACGGGTAATACGCGTCCTCCTGCCTCCTTGTGTCGAAAAGAGGAAACCGGCGCCGTTGATCGGCAAGTCAATTCACCTCCACCTGCCATTGACCATTCCATGGTTTATTCATTGTTGCTCAAATGAGACGGACCTTCAGACACAGAGAGAGAGAGAGAGAGAGAGAGAGAGAGAGAGAGAGAGAGAGAGAGAGAGAGAGAGAGAGAGAGAGAGAAGTCGAGATGAGTTTGAGAAGGCGAGGAGGTTCTGAAGCAGAAGAGGTTGCTGCTCATCCATTGCGATCCCAAAACCTGGTGACAAGGAAAAATAAATTTATTAGTATAGTGTGGTCGATTTGAAATCGTGGAGTGGGGCGGGCGACGTGGCAGATCAGGCGAAACGTACCTGAGCGCCCCGCTCCAGCACTCCTCTCTCTCTCTCTCTCTCTCTCTCTCTCTATCTATCTATCTATCTATCTATCTCTCTCTCTCTGTCTCTCTTTCTCTGTGTGTGTGTGTGTGTGCGTGTGTGTGCGCGTGCGAGCGGGGGGGGACGTTACTGACTGTTCTTGTTTTCGAATTAGTGTTGTCGATTTTCCGTTTCCGCTTTCAGAGAAAAAAGAGAAAATTACATAAAGTCAGTGCGCGCGTCATCGTTCTCCTCTCACTCTCTCTTATAGGAGGAGGTTACGCACTGTTCTTGTTATCGATTCAGTAGTTGATTTTTCGTTTCTGGTTTTATAAGAAGTACAGAAGCACATTCATTCAGTGCAAGGATCCAATCAATTAATCAAGGCATCCAATCGTCGAGCCAGCCCAATCAAAAGTGCGTGCGTCTGCATGTGTGTGTGCACCCTGATCGACCAGCGAAGCGAATCAATAGGACTGTCATAATCGAAGACGGAATCCGAGCAAAAGGCAATGCCATCAACCACTGAGGTTGCCTCAGTGGGGATGATTGTGCGCACGCACACTGTAGAGAGAGACACAGACAGACTACTCCGATCTTGGATAAAGTGGAGGGTTGGGGATTGATCCCGGAAGTGCCCCTGTGAAAGGAGAGGTCAAGAGCGCAGACCCCAGCACAGATGTTCGGGGAATGGTGGAGATTGTGTTGCGCATCTGTTGCCGCGTTGCCCTGGCATGTACTATCTGAGCAACTATCAACACGGAGATCAGGCATGTGCTGTCTTGTGGGAGTGATTACGGAGTGTACATGGGGTGACGATATGAAGGGGGTGACTTGATTAGGGAGTCCGTCTATGGAAGAGGCGTGGAAATAGACTGGACGTGGCGGGGCCACTTCCGCATAGCATCTCCACAAGTTGATGATACCGTTCCTCACCAAGCGGAGAATGTGAACTTGGCAGGGACCTTCCGTGAAGAGTGTGTTGCCCGTAATGGATGAAGAGCTTGGGTAAGGTGTGCCTATGCTATGCCCGTGATGAGGACTGCGTAGAGTCCTGTTGCCCAGTTTTGCTCATATGCTACCATCTGCAAGGAGTGGTGGAATGGGTTGTGTGGGACGAACAGACAGAGAACTAAACAGAAGGCCATACCGAGCTGGGTTGCAGCCGGTGTTGGAAAGTCCGGTCGTGGGCAACAAAAAGGATGAAATGCGCAGGTGTTTGTGTTCTGATCTACCAACGTCTCCCTTTCTCTCACACACAGGCATGCACACTAAGAGTGATGAACCTGCACGTCCGAAAATGAAAGACATGCAGAAATCACAGGGTATCAACATCTGTTAGGACCGATTGCAATGTTTTTTTTGTTTTTCTAAGAGGGCTGCGCCGCACTCTGCTGCAGTGCAATACGGAGGCAACACTGGAGGGGTCGAGTAAGCAAGCTTACTCGTACGACCCCTCCGTGGCCCAGAAAAATTAATTTAATATCGTGTGGTCTGATGGACCACGGATCAGATATTAAACTGATCAGAACAGAAAATACACTTGATCTTAGGCAAAAGGCTGACAAAGGTATAATTGCGCAATGTTTTATCTTTATACAGCTTGCTCAACCCATATTCTAAAAACAAAAACAGAAAAAGCACTTGTATCTGATAAACCCTTTATCAAAAATAGTGGGTACAGTCTTGGATTCTCTCATTGGGAGGATATGGCGGCTACACAGTTCCCTGTAAGACTACAAGAATAATAAGGCCAGAAGGTCGTCCTGCCCAACAGCAGATATTTAAATTTGGTTGGTCGAATTAGCCTTAGAAAAGAGAATGCAGAACGTCGAAAAGTGCAGGGAACAAGAGGAGATTGAAATGTGTATGTTGCAGGTGGGCGTGCGTGTGTGTGTGTGTGTTGTCATAATCGCTATACACTCAAAAGATGCACGACTGTGCCAGACTTTTTCTATACACTCAAAAAAGGCATGACTGTGCCAAAGAAAAAAAAAAAGACAGACTGTTTCGTCAGGGATGCATTTGACTGATGGATAAGGACTCGCCACATTGCCCAAAATTAGCAATACCCCTGGGAAAAGCGGTAGGGCATGTGTGTGTGTGTGTGTGTGTTCGCAGCCCGTCAGGGTTGTGTTTAATGCCCTTGAGACCTTCAATGTCAATTCAACTTTCAACGTCTGTGGTCGTTTGGGAGGGTGGGCAGTTTTGAGGTGAGCACTTAGCAAGGGGCGCGGAATGTGAAGAACCAGTAGCTATCCGTAGGATGATGAGGAAGCCGCGGTCCTTGAGTTGGACATTTCAAAATCGAAATGGCGTGGGAGCCTGCGGTCCTTGAGAGTTTTGAACATTTTGAAATCAAAATGGTGTATGTCCACTTTTCTCGAACAGAAGAGCGCTTTGAACAGATGATGTAAGTGTTGTATTCGAATACGTGTACCTTTTGTATTCAAATTTTGAAAAAATAAAACTATTGTATTCCAATAGAACATTACCTTCTCTTTTTTTTGGGAGGTCAGCGCTTGCCCATGTGCTCCCCGCCACGGACATGCTGCAGGGTTCTCTCTCTCTCTCTCTCTCTCTCTCTCTCTCTCTCTCTCTCTCTCTCTCTCTCTCTCTCTCACACACACACACACACACACACACAC